GATTCCCCCAAAACCGTGGCTGTCGTCCACAGTTCCGCGATGCACCGATGCACAACACGGGAGCTGTACACACAAAGACACAGATGCCCGTGTAGCCTTAACAGACTATTGGGGCAAGTGCTGTTAGCGAGCATCTATGAAGGTCGGCACGGTACACGAGGGGGTGGGTGGGCCAGCACCACGCACGGCCGCCTTTGTCTCCCGAGTAGCGATGTTTACACAACGCACCAGGTACTCATTTTAGGCTGAGTCGACCTAGGGGAGGCCCAGGACCGGTTCAAATAATCGTCACTAGTGTTGGCCGTGAGCGGGAATCGAACCCGGGTCGCCAGATTCGTAGCGCAGCGCGCTAACCGCTACACCACCGCTCCCCACCTGTACACACACACACACCGACACACACACACCGTAGCCGATTTTTTTTATTGCTCCATATTTCACGCGTGGACGTGCTCTCAGACGCGCCCCCATTCTTTCTCTGCCACTCCGTAACTATTCTTCACCTCGGTTCATCATCCCCTTGAAGCGACGTGCTTTGCTCACGCAGACTTTTCCTAACAGTTCGAATGGGATTTTTCACCTCCGTATGTTCTGAAATCCACGTGTTCCTCTCTCTCCCAATGTAATTCTAAAGCATGCATCTGCTACCGCACGTCTGAAAACCATAATATAAAATCATTGCAAAATGCAGCACTCTGTCAATTCACTGCTGGATAGAGGGAGTGATTTTTTCTTTTTGACCATACTTCACCACGCTGATGAGTGTGATTTGACTATACCCCGGGCAGGAGGAGTCCTTTAAGATATTACTCACCAAGTGATGTTTTTAGCATTGGCCGAGATTCTAACGAAGTCAATGTCGCGGAGTTCGGATCGCAGTGCGCTAACCACCGTCCCACCGCTCCAAACGGTGTGAAAATGATAGCGCTCTTACCCATACGCACGCACACACGCGCGCGCGCGCGCAGCTATACACATCTTGTGGATGATTTATTGATTTCTAATATGCGCAGCCTCTGCACCAGTGCAAACACGAAGAGCGCGTGTTTGTTCCACGCAACACGCTCAGAAGTTGAAAGCGAGAAACGTGGTCGTCAGAGGGACGTGCGTCTCGTAACGCATCGAATCTGAGCGGAGCATATGAGCGCCGGTGTGGTGATGTGCGTACGTAGAACTTCTTTCGCGCCGTACGTAGCCAACCGTGCTAAATCGGTACGCGTGGTGAGTGTTGGTGTAGCGCGCGCGACTGCCAGAGTAAGTAAGAACATTTGATATTGCGCGCGCACTCTGACGGGTCCAATCCATCACGAAAGCGCATTGAGGACACGTTGAAGCAGACTCTCTGATTCCAGATTTGAAGCTTTCGTGACTGCAGTGATTCCTATTCTTAGGTTTTTTCTCGGTAAAGTCACGTAGGTAAAAACATTAAAAAGTAAAATAAAATAAAAATCACGACGTTTCGGAGGCAACAACAACAACAACCACCGTTTTGAGTCTGTTGCGGAACTGGCTCAGACTCGGGGGTGGATCCCGAACACGAGCTGGCAGCGGTCTGCGCTGGCGGCATCGCACGATAGGGGTTGACACGCGGATAGAGCAGCAGTAGCAGGTCGCCTCGATCCGCAACACCGTGGTCGGAGTCGGTGTGGGTCTGTTGAAGCCGGTGTGCTTTCGGAACGTGCCCGCGTGCTGTTCGTCGGCATGTCCGACGTTTCGCTCCGCGTGTTGGGAGCTTCTTCAGCCACCGAACACAGCGCAGAGTAATTGCCGTATCTCCTAATGAGTGTATACATACTCGAATCGGCAGGTTATATCATAAAATATCCCTTTCAGTGGAGTGCACGTAGCGTTGCATCCTGCTGTGATACAGCTACAGTTTGCATTGTTGCAAATGCGTGTACATCGTACGCATGCACATACCATTATAAACGCACTTCACATAATCACGTTGGTACTGAATAGTGCATTGTAGATAGTAACGTGGGTAGTCTATTCATCTTGATTATAGATTTGAATCGAACGTTTTGTCTCGTGGTAATAACGCTGTCTAGACAGACGACCGATACGTCTGCTGATCCGGACGTTAAGGATACCTTGCAAATGTCCCTTTAAACCTTCATCTGAAGCGGGGGCGTCGCGCGAAACGTCAACCAGCTATATGAGGCGAGCTTTGACTATTTTTTTTTAGCGAGCTAAGGCAAAGATCCCCTTTGTGCCAATCTCGTAACGGAATGATGGATTGCAGAACTCTTAAAAGGGGGGGGGGGGGTGATCGGAGCGTATCTCTCACTCTTTAACGCACTCACTCAAGCGGGGCAGAGGCACGAGGCTAGACTTGCCACAACTGTAGACGCGTGGGTGTGAATGCGTGAGTGCGTGGCGCAGTGGGCAGCCAAGGGCCAACTCACAGCTGATGCCACTTGATATTATGACTGGCCCTGGGACTCCCTTAGGTCGACTTAGCCTTCATTGAGTACTTTGTACGTTGGAAAAAACGCGCTGGTGAGACAAAGACGGCCGTGCGTGATGCTGTTTCGCTACTAACTCTCTTGTTGCCATACGGACCCTGACATGAATGTGTCTCCGGCAGTCTGCTGCATGCCTATACGAATTATCTTGAGAAATAAATAAAGTGGCGTGTATGCATTAGCATTTGCCGAGTGAAGTGTAGGAGGGGGGAGGAAGTCTTCAATGCCATCGATCAGAGCGACGGTCAATTGCAATTCAAAAGTTCCATTGGATTCCAGTTTATCAAAATCGCCTCTTATTTTATAAGGCTTTGTCGCCTTTAGCTCCATGTGGGCCAGTGGCATTGTTTGATCGTAATCATTTAAACGGCATGATGAGAACCCAGAAGGTCGAAACCGCTGAATACGTGCTGCTTGATAACATTGGTCTCGTAAGCTAATAGGCTGATGGACTCAATACTTGTGTGTGTGTGTTACACAGTACTCTCTATATAATATATGTGGAGTCATAACCCACTCTCTGCTTGTCTATGCTTTAAACGGCATTGCTTGCATAAGACCGTGCGTAGCGGGGCTTCAATGTAACGGCTGTGGGATAGGGCAAATCTAGACTCAGCAGCAGTGCGTTCAGAAATCACGCGAGATCTAGCCAGAGGATGGATGGATGCCAGTGGGCAAGAGGGCGAATGCCAGAACATTAGAGCAAATAAATTGGCGGGTTGTTTGTCGTAATAGGTTAAGCACTTCGTACCAATTACCGGCTCCTCGGCCAAATCGCCCTCCTGGAATTAGTCCCCTTTTCCACATCTGTCTTGTCGCGTGGTTCAATATACGGGGGGGGGGGGGGGGTGGGAGGCTTGAGTCGCGTTAAAAACAAGTGGACCCGTCTCGAATGTTAAACGCTGCAACGCGGCACTTGTTAATCACCGTTGTTGGGCAAGTCACCTAGGGCGATTGAACGCGGTGTGAGAATTGAACAAAACAAGAGGAAACAACAATTGTACTTTATCTTACTCAATGGGCACATGCTCACTAACACACACGCACACGCCGGGCGTAATGTTCTCAACGAATATTTCTCGGATCGCTTGGTTTAGACTGGAGGAGGTGGTGGTGGTGGTGGTTCGTGATGAGAAGCCACAGTCACAAGTGACGGATACTTGCAATGTGGTTGGTGTGGCGGGTGTGGATTTATTTTTTACGAATTGCTGACCCGGACAGATGCCACCTTGGCACAGCCCTCTCTCCACAAACGTCGATTTCTCACCACGTTAAACAAACTTAACCTTACATTTTGATTTAAAGCTTTCGTGACTGCAGGGATTCATATTCTTGGTTCTTTCGGTAAAGTCACGTAGAAGGAAAATAATAAAATAATACTAATATAAAACAATAAAACTTGCCCTTACTGACGTAAACTCGGCGGTGTCAATTGAAACGTTACACCTCCTCTCTGAAATCCACTGCTGGATAGATAGTGGACTCCCCGCCGCCGTATCGGATCGTAAGGGGGGGGAGGTGGTATGACCATACTTCACCACATTGGTGCAGTGTAGGTTGGTGAAAGGAAGGAGTGGGGGGGGGGGTGAAAACCAGTTCTAACATCACTTGCCGGGCGCAGAATAGAGAGCATAGTGGCGGCAACCGCGGCGCCACCGCTCCTTCGTTGACAAATATGCCGGATAAAAAAATAAGCGTTTGCTAATTAAAGAATAATCATCTCCAGCCAGGAATGCCAAGGTGCCCTGCAGTATTTTCTGGTGACGTATTTCGTGACCGCGCAACGCGAGAATACAATCCAGGTTCCGCATGCGTTCTCTCTACATACTGCATTGATAAATACTGTACATGATTATAGACTGCACGTGATGAAACCTCAACGATCGCCGTAGCGGAGCTTTCATCACAATACAACACACCCTTGCTCCGTATCTCCCGTATGTGATATGATATATCGACGTGAACATCACCAGCGCTAAACACAACGCGCGTGAACATCGCTGTGTGTGTGCGCGCGCGCGCGCGTGACCACGCGTGCGTAATCATCCGATGGCACACAACTCTCATCTCTCTCGGGACGCCTTGCAAGTTGTTCCCGTCTGTGTGCCTAACAAAGACAAAAATCCCCCGTATAGCCTTGACAGACTGTAGGGGCAAGTGCTGTTAGCGAGCACCTATGAAGGCCGGAACGGTACACGAGGGGGTGGGTGGCCAGCACCACGCCCGACCGCCTTTGTCTCCCTAGTAGCAATGTTTACACACCGCACCAGGTACTCATTTGAGGCTGAGTTGACCTAGGAGAGGTCCAGGACCGGTTCAGATAATCGTCACCGGTATTGACCGTGAGCGGGAATCGAACCCGGATCGCCGGGTTCATAGCGCAGCGCGCTAACCGCTACACCACCGCTCCCCCACACACGCACGCACGCACTCACACCGATGGGCTTAATGGAATATTTTCCGGAGTTAAGCCCGCGACAACTTGAAACGGAGCGCTGTCTCACTATGTGTTCATCTCGCTCCCACAGTTGACCTGTTGGACTCCAAATCGTTGGAAGGAGAGGGGCGATGGACGGCCGATCCACATGAGGGGGTGAGTTCCATTCCACGCAGGGGTTTGTTTTCCATTGCATGGTTCGATTGTCTGTGTTTAGTCCGTCTGTCCATTTTGCTGGGAGATTAAAAAAGAAAACAAGAAAGCCTCAACACGTTTGTCAGTTGCACCCACCAAGGCTTACAACGGTTAAATGTCTGTAAAATAATTCAGCATGACGTTTCGGGCGATGGCTCCTTTTCAGAGCACAGAGATGCCTGTGCAGTACACATACATGTGCTGTCGAGTACAACGTCGCATATCCGGCCGTCACATCCGCCCTGATCAATTAAGCGGCCCCACACCCATTGCTAAAAAGGTGCGTGATGTAAATGTAATTTTCCACAGACGTTCATAAATCTGACCTTTTCACGCGCAATGATAACGGCATTCTTGATCTCACGCACAATCGCTGACTTATAAATCACAGGAAAGCATTCCCTCCCACGTTGAATAATTTAGCTTTTTTTTTACCCAGTGCCCTATACGTGTGCCCGATGCTACTGTCGCTTTCTGTTGATGTTCACATATCCGACCTATTCACATATCCGACCTATTCACATATCCGCATATACCGCCATTCCCAGCGAGTCGATTACATGCAACGTTGAACTCCTTCATGGGCTTAGTTTGTTGTCGTCCTCTCCCCGCACCGGTTGGCTGCGTACGGTGCGAAAGAAGTTCAACACATATACAGGGTGCTTCAAAAAATTTTGAACACTTCTGAGAATTTGCAATAATACGACAAGAAATGTGACTGCGGGCTCTGTAGACCACCTGGAGAAGATTCCAGGCAACGTGTTGACAACGATGGCGAACAAGTGGAGACTCTTTGACTTTTTTAAGCTATTCACATTACATTTATTATCATGTTACAGTGTATTGTCAGTTCTTTTTACCATTAAAAACGATAGTCCCCAAAGTGTTTTGTTTCTGTTTTAAGACGGTAGTAATGTTGACCATTGTGGACAGATGTTGTTATTGATGTGGGGTGTTTATCTTCTTCTGTGCGTGTGAACGCAACTGGCAACGCGGTCTCTGAACGTTTTATGTTGTTGTTGAGAAATGAACGAGCTCCATGTGAACCGAACCCTCCCGTCTCGTGGTGGTTGTAGGTGGTGGTGGTGGTGGTAGCGCGTCGAGACACGAGTGGGAATAACCCCTCAATTGATGGGGGATCCGCTGATGCGTCCGCTCCCAGATGACTTACCAGCATAACGTTACGTTATAATTGGTTACTCAACATCAATCATGGGAACACGATGACTATGACCGCGCCTCCTTAACCCACCCCCGCGGAAATCCTCGTCGAGTCTCAAAACTGCGGCTACAAAGAGGGCCCTGCATTTGGATAGGTTGAGCAGTTTCTCGCTACTGGGAGCGCTTGCTAAACCACCGCAGCCACCCCACGTGTGCATCCGTGGCGGGCAGCAGGAAGTGTGGCATCCCCCGGCGCTAGTGCGCGCGTTAACCCTACCGCAGCACGCGCAGCTAAACGCTGAGCACTCAACTCACTCGTCGCACACGCAGAGCTCGACACAATCGCGTAATTAAACCGCACGGTCGTGAAAGGGGGAGGAAGAAAACATGTATACGTGTGTGTGTGTGTATATATAACAAGTGACGTTTCGGATATGGGCCCTTCTTCATAGCGCTTATAGTAGTAGACCTTCCACCAACAGCATTGTGAACAAGACGTTAAAAGGCTTCACACCCTCTGAATTTGTCTTCCCGTTCATAAGCGGGGATTATTATTTTTATCATGGATTTTACAGAGCTCAGCCCCAGACAGCTCCGGCTGAATATAATCCCTGCCCGTAAGATAAGCATTGGGACCAATTGATTCGCTTTGTTCACATAGGCCAGTGGTTCTTAACCTGGGATGCACATATCCCCATGGGGGTGCAAGATGCCCTTTCTGGGGCTGCGAGAGACGCCAGATTTATTTGTGGAAGCTAAATCATCGAAAACACGAATTTAGCACGGGCACATAAAAGTACAACTCACATTGTTTCATCAAAACCCCCTGTGCATCTATTAACGTTGTAAATGTTTCAATGATTGAGAACCAAAGAGGGTGCAAAGCAATTGCTGCGGTGAAGGTTCAGCAACCACTGTCCCCTACTAAGCGGTCGAGTCGGTTGCTGCTGCGAACGCACACAATGGGTGTGTGAGAGCCGTAATCCCTTCGCCCCTCCTGCGCCATCTCCCGTTACACACGGGGGCCAGTGTTGTAAGGCATCGCGCATGAAAGCTGCATCCTCTTTGTTTTTACACACAGTGTACTACAGCGATAGACGTACAATCTTTCATTCAGTAATCCACTGCTGGATGGATTTTCTATTTAACCTGCGCGTGTTATATATATGTCAACGTGTTGGTCTCTCTCTCTCTCTCGAACTAATGTGGTAACAAAACAATGCATCTGCTATACGTGCCACCTGTCTGAAATTGACATACGAGATCATTGTAATGTACAGCCCTTTGTCAATACGCTGCTGGACGAGGGCCTCTCCAAGCTCTGTCAGTCACAGGGAGGTGTTTGACCAGGGTTGGTGTAGGTGCGATACCCCAGAACCGGTTCAGATATCAGTCGCCACTCATGCTAGCCGTGGCGGGGATTCGAACTCGGGTGGCAGGGTTTATAGTGCAGTGCGCTAACCGCTTCGCCCACCGCTCGAACCGCCGTCACCGCCGGTCATATTGCTGTAGTCATTAGACAAATATTTCTATATGAATCACCACTTAAGCACCAGGGGTCGTATTGCTATAACCCACTCGTGTAAGCCGCTGTTAGGTGCTCCATGGCCCATACAACGTCTGAATTGGCCGTGATAGAAACAATGTCGGTTGCCTTCAGGGAGGGCCAATTCCCAGTGGAATACGCGTGAAAACCGTGACACCTACATTTCCCAAGTACACAGTTTGTTGTTGGAGCGTTTAGCTCGTGAGCTATTTAAAGGCACTCACTCTCAGGCACATGTAGCCAAGTGATAATAAGTGACAACGTAAATAAACGTATGTTAAATAAAATAGTTACGTGTAGATATATATAATCGTTGTTCTGTCAGCCGATATGCGCTTTCCTCAGACCATACATTAAGCAGCACTTGTTTTAAAGACGCAAACGTTGGACAATCATCGACCTTATTAAGTCTATGCTCTTTGGTTCTTTCGGTAAAGTCACGTAGGTAGAAATAAAATAAAATAAATCACGATGTTTTGGACGCAACACGAGCGTCCGTCGTCAGGTTTTTTTGGGTTAGATCACTTAAATATAAATGTGTCGTTAAACCCGCCACCACCCGTCACAACCAATTAGTGAGGTTTGTCACGTAAACAGAACGTGCCAATTCGTTACTAGTACAGCACACCGGTTTGTTGGAGAGTAAACCCACAACATTGACAATCTGAGTACGACGTTTTGCCAGTAATTACAACTAGCTTCATCAGGCGACAGACAGATTTAGTAAATTTCATTCAGCGGTCAGGTGATGTTCATGGAGAGTGCCCTACATATACACAACAAGGCGATATCCAACGGAGAGATGTTGTACAAAACAAAACTCGTCCGCTGTTCTCAAGCAATATCTAAATAGTTTACCAGGTAAGGCCCACTGAGCTATGTCGAGCTCTTTTTTTCAGAAGCCACCTGGCCACCAATTAGGAGGCGTATCACTTGGGAATGTATCGAAGCCAAATACTCTAAAAGCACGTTTCTAAATGTGGAGGGTAAAAAAAGCGGGATGCGGAGAAAGAAAAAGCCACGCGACTACGGGGAGAGAGACAATATTTGTTTTTTTCGGTAAAGTCACGTAGGTAAAAAATGTAAATAAATTAAATCACGACGTTTCGGAGGCAACACAAGCTTCCGTCTTCAGGTGCAACCGTCACAGCAAAATTACTGTGACTTTACCGAAAAAACCAAAGAGTATGAATCCTTGCAGTCACGAAAACTTCAAATCTAGAATCCAAATATACAGGCGTCGGGATTGAACTTACGACCACCTGTATACCAGGCGAGGTAGTTAACATCTCACCACCGCGGCAGTCCCTCGGGGTTTGAGGATGACGTCCATCAGGTTTGGTGGTGGCTCTTGAGGACGGCTGAGGAGTCCTACTCTGGATCCGCAGATCTTTGGGCATTGGGGTCGCCCCCCAGTCACCCGTGGAATGCCAAGCCTATAAGCTGATAGACTAAAACAGTTTTTTATCTGTGTGGAGATAAACGGGAGTAGATTTCGCTCATTAACCACAATGTTCCACAACAACGCTTGATACATTATTACTTGCCAAAAATGATTGAGTACTTGTTTTGATATTTTCAGTTTATTTAAATTCTTCGACACTGACCAACACTTAGTAAAGAAAAGCAAGGACATATTTAAATTTTTATCGTGAATGTTTCAACTCGCCACCCCAGTCGGCTGATTATTTGAGTCGCATCTTCACGAATTAACAACATTTTAGTCCTCTACGAGTAACGTATTATTACTTTATCGTAATTTAATTCTCATGATTAATTTTTCATCTTTGTTTCTGTGGATTTGTGAGTGACTTTTTAACATGTAGCCTTTTTGCCAAGATGCAATGCAATGTACAAGTTGTTTTTCTTCCCCCGTGCGTGTAAATGCAATTGCATCTCAAGATGCTGTACAGATACAGAGGGCATGATTATTTTATGGAAAGAAAGAGTGAGTCACAGTCATAAGCAGACGAATAAAGGAACATCATAGTCCTGGACTTGAATAGGGACAGGGAGTCAGCAACACTGATTGCTAAGAGGAAGGTATTTCACGATAATGAAAACAAGAGCCACCACCTCCTACTGAGTCACCTCCGGCTGGGCTGAGATTGATTGGTGGGGGGGGGGGGGTGCTTCGACAGAAAGCCGTGAGTTTTGGAGCAGAGCGCATGGAGGGCAGCGGTAGAGTGAGACAAGGCTGGTGGGGGTTAGGCAGTTGTGAGTCCAAGGAAGATGTTGAAGACGGCTCGTGCCC